ATATAAATAATTGCCTATTTTACCAATCTAAATAAGTTTTGCAATAATTTTATCCAAAAAGCCTCGATTAACCATGAAGGTTATAGTTCTTTGTGCACTACTACCATGTAGGTAGAAGGAAATTGGATTTCTTAGAAGCACTTGAACAATTGGACTATCTTTGGCATATGAGTTGATCTTAGAAGGACCAATTTAGCAAAAAAAAAATAGTATAATTCATGAACTAAGTATTTAATACTTAAGCCTAGAAACTAAAAGTTTATGTGCTACCCTAAATGTTGTTGTGTACCTTTGAATAGTACACTAGATATGTGAATTTCATGCCAACACCAATGTATACTAGAAGTATGATTGGATTCTATGGAACATTAAAAATGATTATTTATAGATGATGCATGAAGCATATTACTACTCAAGTAATTATGGCATGAAAAGGGAGGAATTTTGGGTAAAGACATAAGAAAATGTGGGTAATATATATTTAACGGGCATAGCCTTCCTAAATCTATCTTTAAGTGCATGTATCGGGACTTGAAGTTCTAGCCGCATCCTTCGAGCCGAGTTAACTTTCTCTACATTGCACTAATTGTAAGCAAGTTTGTAGCTTTGCATTTTGTTGTTATCTATTACGTTGGATTGAATACCAATATTCTACATTACACTCGTGTATCACTATGTTGTGCTCTCATCAAGCTGCAACTATCTCCACTCCTGCATAAATATTAGCATAGCAGCTATATTTGTAGCTAGCAGCTACCTTGTACTTCCCTCATAATTAGATTGGCTAGCTAGTATATTATGTTCATAGTTCCCATTGAACTAAGAAATATCTTGCTTTCAATGGATCACATGTATAAGCAATAAATTGGTCTAGAGCCAAGTAGCCTAAGATCAGGGGAGTTGCTTAAATTGAAATTGGCTAAATGACGAAGTGACCCAATTGAATGGGATAGATTATAGTGTAATTTGAGTTGATAGATAAAGCACTTAATGATGATTTGGGATTTATGAATAAAAAGCGTTTGAGGAATTTTGCATTAATGGCAATTAGAAAATTCTAGAAGAAATTCCATGTGGATTTGAATGTTGCATATTCTATACTTTTGAAGTATATGGTCCATTTTTATGTATGAGTAATTGGATTGTTTTTTTGGCTAAACAATAAAGAAGCTAGATAATGAAATAGTTTTCTAAACCATAATATGTGCAAATCGGGGAAGAACATCCTTGAGTTCATAGGAATCTTTGAACATTCTTAAGTGCACTTTATGGATTCTAACTCTTTGCATTTAGGGAATAATAACCCCGTATTAAAATATGTGCATGAATATTTTTCATAAAACTACATCATAGCATACATGAATGGGCCTCTACTTATAGTTGGAGATACATGAATTTGAATGATTTTAAGCCCATGATAGGGGATATCTTTTGAAGTATGCTATTAAAGATCTAGTATTGACATTAGGGGGAGCGAAGCCTATGTTGAATGCCAAATATTATTTCCATAGAAGGAAAATGGTTTTAAGAGAAAAAATATTCCTTGAAGCTTTAAGCAAGAATAGTATCACGCATTAAATCAAACAGTAGTTTGACTAAAGCTCTTGTGAAGCATGAAGTGGAGCATATGTCAGATATTTTTTAAAATGAGAGGAGTAACTTAAAGTTATAAACCAGAAATTATGTTTACTAGTAGTAAACTAAATGTTGTATACTATCAAGCTAAAATCAATGGGGACGCCTGTGGATTATAGTTTAGTGTATATTTGTTGAATAGAAATAAAATGAAAATCCTCCATTCTCATGAAGAGAACACCTCATGAAGATGGTTAAGCACCTCATGAAGAGGATCATCATAAAGATGAAATCCAACACACTAAGTGCGCGCATCACAGTGTTGGGTACGCAGAACAATAAATTATCTTTTGTTTGAGAAATAACAAAGAGATAGAATAATCTCACATGGTGAGGGTGTTAGGAGAAAATAATAGTTGTCGACAGCGCTATCTCTATAATTGCAAATGTTTCTCTTATGAGAACCCGGATTCGAAAAATAAAGTCCATGGCAAAGTCACTGTAGTGATTATATCATGTCAATGAAGAAAGCAATTGAGGTTGAATCTCCTACTCGGAAGAAATAAATGTTACGCGCTATATCTACGGCAAATGAAATGAATGAATATGAAATATGCAGTGAATAAGTGGATTATGAAGATCCATATAGTTCTAGAAGAATATAAATCGCAACATATGGAAATTAAATCTTATATAACGTATTAAGAAGTCTAAGGTATAATATATTCCTGAATGAATATTGAAGTCTCAAGAAGAACATGTCATAGAAGGAATATTCATCGAATGACTTTGTAGTGAATAACACTATCTCATTATGTACATCACGTAATAATCTCTCATGTAGTAGAGAATATATTTCATAGAAGATAAATGTTATTCACTAAGAATGATAACATCCTTGAAGGATTTAATCCATAAAAGATTTACTAGTCGATTCTTGAAAAGCATCATTAATTCACAAGTGAATGTAGACCCGAGAAAAAGAAAATGAGGAATCCTATATACCATGAAGGTGTCATACAAACACTCAGAAAGTGCATATTGAAAGGCTAGCAATGAAGTGATGATATCCTCTAAATACCATAGAAGGTATGGGAATATTGGTGATTTTGGTAATTGAATTATCCCCTAAATACCAAATGCAAGACTGAATTTATTATTTAGTGGTACAATCTAAATCCTGAAGATTCGTAGAACATATAATATGAAAATCCACTAAGCAAGAATTATAACTATTCAAACTCTAGTATGAGATTTGATGCACTATCTAGAAGATATTGAATATTATAACTTATTTACTCCCATAATCCTCTGAAAGGATTTATTACCCTGAAGGATAAATTTTATTTGTTTTGCGTAACTAATAAGTGGTTATTTATACATGAAGCATATTGCTCTTGTTTACTCATATTATAATTCATTGAAGAATGACAAGTCAATATTTTTGAAAGATATAGTATTATGATACTGCATACCATTATTAAGCACACATTTATGAAAAGTGTAGACTGAACAATGCAGTTCAAAGAATGGCTTTATGAGGGGGAGCAATTTGAGTAAATCTACCTTGAAGGTAATTAAAACCACTAGAATTACAAAGATCAAGTAGATCATATTATATTTTCTAAAACATTAAAGTTTATGCATAGATCATGAAGATAAATATCTATTCATGAAGAATTGAATATTCTGAAGAATACATGACCAAGAAGGTTAAATGTTGTACTCTTTTTTCTTATGTGAGTTTTTACTTGAAGATTTCTCATGCAAAGTTTTTAATGAGACAACATGTGCAATGCAATTAACGAATGCGATGTACTCTTTTCTCCAAGAACTGTTTTTCCCATTGGGTTTTCGGATGGAGTTTTTAATGAGGCATGTGCATATCGTGGTAATCGTCTAAGGAGGAGTGTTGTAAAACATACGGACTTAATCTAGAAGGAAAGGAGAAGGATAAATCCTAATCCTAGTCCGTTTGCATGTGGGCTCTTACCAAACTCTTAGACCTTGACAGGACTATATATATGTGGGAGCTCTATGTTGTAAATGGTCAATATTAAGAGGAATAAAGAATAGTCTCTCTATCTCTTGTGTCTATGCGTTCTACTTTTATCTACTATGTTGATCATGAGAGACGAAGAGGAAAAGGTCCGAATCGCTGGCAACATGTTTTATAACAATGTGCATTTATTGATCATGTCGCCAAATCTATACCATGCATATGGACCGTTGGCAACTGGAGACTACTCCATCCGTTCTAAATTATAAGTCATTTTAACGTTTTAAAATATACTCTATATATCATTGTTTAAATTATGAAAATATACTCTAAATATAATACTATCCTATAAATCTTATTTAAATTACATACCTCTAATAACATCATAAAAAGTCTCAGATATATAATTCCTTATCTACTGGGCCTATCAGGTGGAATTCAGCCCATTCACATTAGCCAGTTGCTCCTTCATTTCCATTGATTTTTCACTTGACTGGGGTGGCAAACCATCCTTCAGGCAATCAGAGGCACCTTTTTAACCTTGTTCAATGTGTAGGATTGTCCCGCGAAAGCGCTAGTGAGTACTCCCTCCACCCTAATTGTCTAAAAAATAAAAATATTATTTCTTGAGGGCTGAGGAGAAAAAATTACAAATTTGACTAAATATATACAAAGAAGTACTAATATTTATAACGTAATAAATATTACTAGATTAGTTATGAAATAGATTTTTATGACGAATTTATTTGTGTTAATACTATTTTTGATAAACATAGTCAAATTTAAAATTGTTAGATTTGTCTGAGATTTGTATCTTTTTTAGGATGGAGGAGCAGTGACCAAGCTATCCTCTTGCATCTCGACTCTTTAATGTTCTGATCTTCTCAATCACTGCTGCATTGTACGGTCACGCCACTCTGCGTTTCCTTTCAATGTTCATTCATAAAGTTAATTTCGTCCGACAATGTTGTTGTTTTGCATGTCGCCATCGCGGAGACGAGATGGCAGATTTCCATACGAGCTGGAACGTGTACTGCCCGGCACACGGGCGACGCAACAGCCAATGACGACACGTCTCCACGATCCACGTCACGGCCGCGCCGCCGACTCCAGAACCGACTCATCAACGAGGCCGCCGCAAAAAAAGCCCGAGAGGCCGCGTGAACCAAACCCAGACCATTTGAGCAAGTGCGTTTGAGGACAGCAAGGGTAGTCCCAACCAGACGTCGATGGCCCTGTCCACCCTAATCAGCACCCTACTCGACGCCGTCGTTTGGTGCGCCGCTTACCTCGCCGCCGCCATCTCCTCCGCCTTCTGATTCCCCGCTCCCCCGACCCCAACATCTCCTCCTTTAGCACACCCCACCTCCAGCTCTTTTAGGTCCTACTACACTCGCAACCTTCGCCCCGCCGCCCTCGCGCCGCCATGGGGTACGCGCAGCTCGTCATCGGCCCCGCTGGGAGCGGCAAGGTGCCGGTCCCCTTCCACCCCGACTCCCGAGCGGATGCGTTGCTCGCCGGCTGGCGCTAGTCAGAGTTGGGGGCGACTCAGTTCGATTAGGGCATGATGGTGTTCCCTCGGCTATTATGTTTCAGTTCCTGCTTGTTTCGATCGGGTATACTTACTTTCGTAGTGATCTGGTAGGGTTTCGTTTCCCGTGCGAGACAATTTCCCTCTGCTCTGTTTCGGGGGCTTTTAGTTTGGATAAACCAGTCCCCTTTTGGATTAGAGGGGACAGAGGGCAATGAACTAATTTTCCCACTCAATCCCCTGCTGCCCACATGAAAAATCTGCCACATGTACCTGTAAGACCACTTGCAAAAATATGTTTTAACTTTTGCATACTTGCCACACTGGGGTTTAGGGTCTGATTAAGAAGGAGTTGATGATAGCTTGCTCTAATTGGTTACTTGTGGTGTGTTTGCAGTCAACTTATTGCTCCAGTTTGCACGACCATTGCCAGACTGTGGGCAGGACAATTCATATTGTCAATCTCGATCCAGCTGCTGAGCACTTTGACTATCCTGTAGATATGGGTAATTTTTCTGCTTATGTGTTACAATGTAAAGCTCTTGTCCACACTCCACAGTAAAGTATTGCTCTCACTTACTTTTTATTGCCTTGCATTTTGGCAGATATCAGAGAGCTGATTTCATTGGATGATGTTATGGAGGAGATTGGGCTGGGGCCAAATGGTGGTCTCATCTACTGCATGGAGTATCCTGTTATTTAAGCATTATTTTTGCTTATTTTATAGGCTGCCAAAGCTATTTAGTTGATTAGTTCTGAACTAATGGCCGTGTTGCTGGTGCATTTTTACACTTATTGCTTGTTAATGGGTTGGAGATGCAAAACCAGGCTGTTAGGAGCTGAAACTGGATTTGCGTTACCTTTTCTTTGCACTTGGTTGTTGCTCTGTGAGGCTGATATTTTGAGTTTCAACATTTATTGCATTTTTTTTAAAAGGGCACCGTTAATTTGTTTGACCATTAGACATAAGCCCTGTAGATTGTGGCCATGCAATCATTGGATATTCACTAATATGACAGAGAATGTTGCGGGACGGATTAGCTCAAGAACTAATCTAGCTAACTTATGACAACGTAATTCACGATGATATTGTTCCTTATGTTCATGGAGTTTGTTTTGCTAGGATTTTATGCTTTCAATTTCTGTTTCCTTAACAAAACCTCAGGCACCTAGAAGACAGCTTGGATGATTGGTTTGATGAACAGCTAGAGAACTACTTGGATGATGACTATCTTGTGTTTGATTGCCCTGGTATATTCTCAATTCATCTTTGCATGCTTTGATTGTTTCTTAATAGTTGCATGGTTTCATCTTGCTTACTATTCTTACCACTTACATTAATGTGACAAAACAGGCAATCATCAGTCTTTTTTTACTGATGTGCATTATACTTGTCCATCAATTATACACAAATACCATTTTGGGTTACCTCTGGTTTGTTTATCAATTCTAGTGTATATGTCTTTCTAATAATAATTCTATACATGAAAAACTACATATTTATAGGGTTGACATCACATGTATCGGTTAATAATTTTCTACATCTTGCTTTTCCAGGCCAGATTGAACTCTTCACGCATGTTCCAGTTCTGCAGAGCGGAACTTTGTTGAGCACCTGAAACGAAAAAATTTCAATGTCTGCACTGTTTACCTTCTTGATTCACAGGTTTGAATCACAACAACAACAACAAAGCCTTTAAGTTCCAAACAAGTTCGGATAGGCTAGAGTTGAAACCCAGCAGAAGCAATCAAGGTTCAGGCACGTGAATAACTGTTTTTCAAGCACTCCTATCTAAGGCTAAGTCTTTGATTAAATTTCATTCTTTCAAGTCCTCTTTTATTGCCTCTACCTAAGTCAACTTCGGTCTTTCTCTGCTTCTCTTCACGTTATTATCCTAGCTTAGGATTCCACTACGCATCGGTACCTCTGAAGGTCTCCGTTGGACATGTCCAAACCATCTCAACCGGTGTTGGACAAGCTTTTCTTCAATTGGTGCTACCCCTAATCTATCACGTATATCATCGTTCCGAACTTAGACCTCTTCTTGTATGACCGTAAATCTAACGCAACATACGTATTTTCGCCACACTTATCTATTGAACATGTCATCTTTTCGTAGGTCAATATTCTGCACCATACAACATAGCAGGTTTAATTGCCGTCCTATAAAACTTGCCTTTTAGCTTCTGTTGTATCATTTTATCACATAAGACACCAGATGCTTGGCGCCACTTCATCCACCATGTTTTGATTTTATGGCTAACATCTTCATCAATATCCCCGTCTCTATATATCATTGATCCTAAATATCGAAAGGTAGCCTTCCTAGGCACTATTTGATATTCTAAACTAATATCTTCCTCCTCCCGAGTAGTAGCGTCGAAATCATATCTTATATACTCAGTTTTAGTTCTATTGAGTCTAAAACCTTTGAACTCCAAAGTCTCTCACCATAGCTCCAGTTTCTAATTCACTTTTGTCCGGTTTTCATTAACTAACACTACATCATCCGCGAAAAGCATACACCAAGGGATGTCTTCTTGTATGTCCCTTGTGACCTCATCCATTACTAAGGCAAACAGACAAGGGATCAAAGCTGACCCTTGATGTAGTTCTATCCTAATCGGGAAGTCATTCGTGTCTTCGTCACTTGTTCGAATACTAGTCACAACATTGTTGTATATGTTCTTAATGAGCCCGACGTACTTCGTTGGGACTTTATGTTTGTCCAAAGCCCATCACATAATATTCCTTGGTATTTTATCATAAGCCTTCTCCGAGTCAATAAAAACTATGTGTAGGTCCTTCTTCTTCTTCTTATACCGCTTCATAACTTGTTTTATTAAAAAAATGACTTCCATGGTTGACCTTCTTGGCATGAAACCAAATTGGTTCATAGAGACCCGTGTTATTGCTCTCAAGCGATGTTCGATAACTCTCCCATAGTATGACTCATCAACTTAATTCAATTAGTACAACTTTGAATATTTCCTTTATTCTTGTAGATTGATACCAATATACTTCTTCTCCACTTGTCAGGCATCTTGTTCGATCGAAAAATATGGTTGAACAGCTTGTTAGCCATACTATAGTGTGGAAGAACCGCGCGAAATAACGCACTTACGGAGGCGCTCGTCTTCTACCAGACACTAAGCACCCCGAAAGCAAGTTACAACGGGCAGGTTCCGTCGGGCACACCCAAAGGAAGAGTCCGAAAGATCCACATTTTTCCTCAAGGATCCAATAATGAGAACGAGTTATAATACTTAATACATTTCATACATCCAGAGTTCTTAGAAATTCATTATTATATTGCCAAATGTCAGAGTGTGGAATATTAAATAGCGGAATGTAAATAAACATCTATCGACAAGAAACAAGGATCTGTCTCCTTCACACAGTGGTACTCCTCAAGAATTACCTGCAACAGGGGTAAATAAACCCTGCTTACACAATGTACTTGCAAGACTTATCCGACTAGTGGGAATAATTTTTTTGACTCCAAGGGATATGCAAAGTTTTATGGTTTGCTGTTTCTTTTTGCAGAAAGCAATACTAATAGTTAGTCCTTATTTATATTATTATTAGCAGCAATGATTAATTTATTATCTAGCCATTTTATGTAAGCACATGTTCTACTTTCAAGCAAGAGTTGAGCAATCAGTTCTATTTTATCACATTTCATTTTTCAGTTCTTACTACGGTGCTAGATCTAAAACAAGTCGTACTGGATTGCCCGGTGATTCGCGAATCAATGCCCCCAGCTGGGTACTTCGAAAACATGCTCTGCTTGTACCCCAGGCACAAGCAGGATTAACCCATTACCCTCTTATCATGGGGTCTAGGTCCCCGTCCAAACATGTTCTCTAAGCCTCCGCTCCTAAGTCCCGGACTTAGTGCGGTGCAAGGACCTCTACCATCTCCGCCTCCAATCAGTCAGTCTAGAAAGAGTCGGAACCCACGACAAGAGAGCAACAAGTTTTTCCTGCGCCCATACCCAAGTATGTGCTCGGGATAATAAATCTGTGACTTGCCTCGAGATTTATGCAACGGCCGGTCCTTAATCGACACAGACAGGGAAAAAATGTAACCAAGCTATGTCCTATTGGTCGCAGGACACAACCTCTTACACCCACCAGCATCCAAATCATATCTCTGCACAGTCACCATTTTTTCTTTCCATCACTTTATCATGAGTGATCATAATTATCACTTATTGTGAGTAACGACAGGTTACTCACGCTACCGATACCCTGAGCATAACAGCTACTTGACCTATACTAGTAGAACTCTGCATGTAGTTTCCATAAAATGCCTGTAACGTAAATGCACATCATATATATTCAGTAATCATTCAAAAATAGGGGTTATGCATTGGGAGTTGCCTTGGGTAGGCAGTGGGTCAACAAAGTCAGCACCAAAAGGCTCCGAGGCTCCCTCCTCCACGAGGATCTCCTTCTCGTACTCCTCAATGACCTCTTCGTAGTCCTGTTCGTCCGCAGGCACGAACTCTACCAACTTCGTGATCTACATGCAAGAAATGATGACGTAACACTTAGTAATACAGCAACAGCAACTCTTAAAATAAAATACATCTATCAAGCTACTAAGCTAGTTCTATCGACTAAGGTGCTAAGTTACCTACTGTTACCACTAACAAGTATAAAGCATGACATCATCTTAGCAACTAAAGGTATTCTTACTCTTAATACTGATTTACTCTATATATGATAGAAAAAGGGTACTAGCTACTCTATTTAGCAACCTACTCTAGGGTTACAAAAATTACAGTGAGTACATAATAATCTAATGATCCTGCTGTAAAAATTTCATGGCTAAAGCTATCATTAATTTGCCACAAAAAATTCTTACAAATATTAAGTTAAATACTACCAAGCTCTATAAATTGAATTTATGAACCTATCATGATCACAGCTAACTGTAAACTAACTACACCAACAGATAGATATCATTTTTGTGAACCTAACAAATTTTGTTTCACTATTTTTGGACATCTATAAGATTTACTACAAATTATTAAAGTTCAGCTTAAAACCAAATTGAATAAACATTTATTACCTTACTGGAAAATGGAAACCAAATTCTACCGCGTGGCCCAAAACGCGAGCGGCTTGGCCCAGTTCGACGGAACGCGCGTGCACACACGACGCACGGTGCGGCCCACGCGGGGGCGCGGTCCAGCCTGGCGACGACGGCCCGCGACGGGGAGGCCCGCGCGCGTTGGTCATTTTGCGAAAACGCCCTCGGACTACCTAGTAATAGCGTGGCGCTGGTCATTTTGCGAAAACGCCCTCGGACTACCTAGTAATAGCGTGAGCACTAAGCACACTATTCTAACAGTCAGCTAACTTACAATCCCACCCCTCCCCCTTTTCTTCTTTACCACGGCCATACCCTCGGCCTCCGCGCGCACCGGCGTGGCGGAGCTGGCACCGGGCGGTTACGCCGGCCACACCAGTCCCTTCCCGCCCTATCTACGGAGCCGATACCTTACTAGGCTTGAACGCGAAGCACTGGGCGAAGGAAGCGCGAGCTGGGACGCCGCAGTAAGGCCGGTCCACGACGGCGGAGCTCCTGCACTGAAACGATGACGTTCCGGTGAGCTACAACAACGCCGGAGAACTTGGGGTAGCGAGTGAGCTCAAGGAACTCACCACGAACACAGACGACGCAGTGGTTTGGTCGGATACAGCCCGAGCCAAGTTGGTTGCATGCGCTTGGACGGTGCGGCGGTGCACGGCGGTGGCAAGGCTGCGTTAGGAACGGCTAGGTGGTAGCGATTAGGCAAAGGTGCGTAGGGTGATTAGCAGGTGGAGGCGAAGCCGGCGGTGCAACGAATTGGACGCGAGCAGCACTGAAGTGGGGCTTTGCCGTCGACGCGTGCCACGACGGTCTTAACGACCCGGCGGGAGGAAAACTCCAAATTGGAGCTTGGCACTGTTCGGATCACGGCGCGATGGGGTCAGGCGGCTGTCTGACTACACCGCGAAGCTGTGGACGAAGTTAATTGGGTCGAGGCGGCTCCACCAGGTTGAATTGCAAACGCGGGACCGGCGACCAAGGCGACAGAGGAACAGGGGACGGCCGGCACGACTTGGCGTGACGTTGCTGTGGCGGGACATGGCTGTCAATCGGTGCACAAACGCGTATGGCTACAGGGCGATGGGGAAGCGGCCAACGTGCTCAGGACGGTGGGCCGCACGGCCAAATACCGTAAACCGACGACGGCGGCTCGGCCCTACGCGCCGCAGCGGATGGCACTGGTCAGAGGAGGCACCAGCGCAGCGTCGTCGAGCGCCGACGTGACGGCAAGGCAGGCGGGGCAAGGCGATATGCAGGCAATGCCAAATGTGGCCACGCGCGCACGGTACCGCTAGGCGGGCGCGAGGCGGCAGAGTGGCCAGGCGGGCGCGACGGCGGTGGCAGAGCGCACGCGGGCGACTACGCACAAGCAACCATGGCCAATAGCAGCGCAGTGACGCGACGCGTGGGGTTAGCGACACGGCGAAGCAGCGGCAATGGCCGAGCCAGAGCATTGGGCCCGTGACGCCGGTGGTGGTGGCCGAGCGGTCAGGTCGCTGGGCGCGGCGTGCGCAT